TTTCTCTTTGTAGCAGACTCTAGGGAAGGCGCCGCACACCGCCACCGCGCGCACCGCGCTTGCAACCTCTGCGCTTTTGCTCTCTTGCTATTGTTACTCTTATGAACTTGAAGACCCACGTGTGGAAACGAAGGTTCCTGAGCCGCCTGCGCCACTGCCCCGGCCCCTTGTCCGCCGGGTTCTAAATAAAGAGGCCAAACAAAAAAGTTGCGATTTCAGACTTGTCTGTGCACCACACCCACAAACCGGGATGATGGAGGGAAGAGGGGGGGCAGAGAGTGGGGTGGCCACCTTGGTACCGCCTCCCCCACCGGAGAGGGTGGCCTGCAGTCCGTCTGGGAGGGAGGGCCGCCCAGGGCTCACATCGGGGTGACAGGCACAGCCTGCCACTCTGGGGTTCCACTTTGGGAGGGTTTGGGCCTGCATCGCTGGCTCCGCTCCATTCCCACCACCACCAGTCACAGCACCTGCAGGGGGGGGGGACCCTCTACCCCTGCCTACCCCTGCCTGCCTTGCACCTGGGAACTTCCAGGCCAACCCATCAAGATGGAGCCCCCATGACTGCAGAGGCCCCCACTGTGGGACAGGGTGACCCCCGAGCCGGCCAGGGTGTGGCCTTGGGAAGAAGTGAAGGAGGAGGGGAGGGGGCTGCCCACCGGTGGGCAGATGGGTTGGGGGGCCTGGATCCGCTCAGGGGAAGGATGAATCTGAGACTCTACTCCCCAATCCTGTGTACCCCAGCGGCCTGTGTACCTCACCCAAGTGCCCCGTTTTCATAAAAGGGGAGAGGTTGGATTTTTAATATCGGAAAGCTAGAAAGCTGTGGAAATGATGGTTGGCCGTGGGATGGCAGGGCGGGTGACATGGCGTGGACGGCCAGGCCTGTGAGCAGCGTGTGTGCTGGGGCCCCGGGCCTGCAGGAGGGGGAGGGCTGTGGACATTATCAGCTGTACAGAGCCGGACGGAGATTTTCGAGATCTGTGGATGTATAATTAACTTACCCTCCCCCCCCCCCCGCCTGGCCTGAGAGGCCCAGCTGGGGTCAGCTCTGAGAAACGCTCCCACCTGCAGAAAGGGGAGGGCAGCCAGCAAGCCAGAGCGCAGGCCGGGCTGTGGGCAGCAGCCTGGGGGGGGGGTGGCCGGCAGAGGCCTGGCCTCTGGGCCTGGAGGCTGACACCGTCACAGGGCGTAGAGCAGGGCCCGGGGGGTGCTGGGCTGACAGCCCTGGAGGGGGGGATGGGCCCCAGACAGGCCCATGCATGGCCTCAGTTTCCCCATCGAGGCTGAGAAATGTCTGAGGCACCTTCCAGCATGGCCATTCTGTGTCTCCCTTGCCCTGGACAGCTGCAATGGTGGCACCCAGAGCCCTGCCACCAAACTCAGACCTGAGCTGCCCATGTGAGCAGGCTGGGTGTGTGTGTGGGGGGGTGAGAGCACCCCATCTTCCCCTGTCTGAGAAGGGGGCTGGGGCTGGAGCCCTGTGACCCCATGACCCTGTCCCTCTGGACGTCCTGGCTAGAACCTTTGTGCTGTCCCACCCCAGGGCCCAGGCGGAGCAGATCTGTTGACAAAGCAATGAGCACACAGTACTGGGGGGGGCGGTGCCCAGGCGTTGCTGAGTGGTCTAGAGCTGGGTACTTCAGGGTCCACCTGGGACAGGCCATGGGGTGTTCCCATGGCCAGGGCCCCGCGGGGCTAGGCCCGTGCATGGGTGTGGGGCTAGCGTAGTGGCCAGCGTTATGTGGTGAAAGTACACTCCGGGCCCGCCTTCCCGGCCTCGCTGCCTTCCATGTCCTCTCCTGGTCTCCGTCCCTTCCTGGGTCTGACAGGCTGGGCCAAAGGTTGGGGCCATGGAGGGTGGAGGCAAAGGGAGGGGGCTGCAGGGCTTCTGGGTGGGGAAGAGGGAGCAGAAGAGGGGAGGGCCGGGCTGCAGGCACTGTAGCCAGGGAGGCCTGGGGCGTGTGTGTGTGTGTGTGTGTGTGTGTGCCCGCGTGCGTATGTGTGTGTGCACGTGCAAGACCAGCTTCTGTACATACAGAGACACACACTTCCCTGTCCTCCTTGCAGGGGTGACAGAAAGACAGTAACTCAGCTGCAGAGCTGCGGGGGAGGGGGCAGTGTGGACAGACAGGGCAGCTGCTCCTCACCAGACAGCTCCCACCCCAGCTCCTCACAGGTAACATGCCCCAGACTGGGTGAGACTACTGGGTTTGGTGGAGGAAACTGTCAGTGCAAAGGCCCGGGGGTTTAGGGAGTTCCTGAAATAGTGAGCCATAGGGGCTGGGGGGAGGGGCTAGGGCTGTGGTAGCCGGAGACCCTTGTGGGCCACGGATGGGCTGGATGGGGGTGGGGGACGCAGAGCCTCTGGTTTCTAGAGGGGCACAGGGGAGGGCACCAGCTGCGTGGAGGACACTTCCCACGCAGGACAGCCTCTTCTCCAGATGGATGGAGCACGGAGTCAGGCCACTCCTGGCCCCATTTCCATTCTTGGCCCAGTCCTGGGAGCTCAGGGCACAGGTTGGTCCTCCCCACAGCACTAGCCGCAGGGCCGGACACCCAGGCCACAAGGCCGCAGGCCAGGCACCCACGCGGGGGCCAGCCAGCTCCGCCACCCATGTGGTCTTCCGGTCCTCCCAGGCGGTTCCCAGGGGGCCCCCGCTGTTGGGGTGCCGGGTGCCAGCCTGTTCACGTGGCACATCTCCCCCAGCAGGGTGCCTGTCCATGGTTTTCTATGGTCCTGTGGCCCCCTTCCTTCCAGTCCTGTCCCGCGGAGCAGTGTCTCCCCGCTAGCAACCTGCCCACCGAAGACCAGAGGTCACTTCCAGGTTTGGGCCATTATGCAGAGAGCTGCGATAAATAACTATCCTGAGCTTTTTTTTTTTTCTTTTTCTGTTGGTCATGGAGCTTGAACTCTGGGCCTGGGCGCTGTCCCTCAGCTCTTCAGCTCAAGGCAAGCGCTCTACCACTTGAGCCACAGTACTACTTCCAGTTTTCTGAGTGGTTTATTGGAGATAGGAGTCTCATGGTCTTTCCTGCCCAGGCTGGCTTTGAACTACAATCCTCAGATCTCAGCCTCTTGAGTAGCTAGGATGACAGGCGTGAGCCACTGGCGCCCTGCCTGAGTGGGTTTTGTTGTTGTTGTTGTGGTTGTAGTTGTTGTTTTTCAGATCTATTTTTCTCTTCCTTTGTGCCAGTACTCGCACTTGAATTTGGGGCCTGAGCAACTTCATGTAGCTTTTTCACTCAAGTCTAACGCTCAGACACTTGAGCCACAGCTCCGCTTCTGGCTTTTTGGTGGTTAATTAGAGACAGGTCTTACCAACTTTCCTGACTGGGCTAGCTTTGAACCTTGATCCTCAGATCTTGGCCTCCTGAGTAGCTGTTAGCATAATTATAGGTGTGAGCCACTGGTGTGTGGCTCAGTATGGGGTTCTGTGTGAATGTAAGTTTTCAACTTTCGCAAATACTAAGGAACAGGAATGCAGGATCCCACAGTGAGAGTGTTTAGTTTTGCTAGAAACTTCCAAACTGGACTGGGCGTGTGGTTCAGGCCTGTCATCCTAGCTACTCCAGAGGTGGAGATCAGGAGTTTTGAAGTTTGAGACCAGCCTGGGTAAAAAGTTCTTATGATCCATTTAATAGGTGGGCAGACTGGGCAAAAGCCAAGACCCTACTTCATAAATAATCAGAACAAAATGTGTTGAGAGAGAGTCTGTCTTTCAAACCCCAGTGCTGCCAAAACAAAAAAGAAGGCAAGCAAGCAAAAAACCAAATTGTTCTGTGTGTGTGTGTGTGTTCGTGCGTGTGCGCATTGTGCAGGTACTGGAGTTGAACTCAAGGCTTCACAACTCTCGCTTAGTTTTTTCTACCTACTCAGGTCTGGCGCTCTAATACTTGAACCGTGCCTCCACTTCCAACATTTTCCTAGTTAATTGGAGATAAGAGTCTCAAAGGCTTTCCTGCCTAGGTTGGCTTTGAACCAGGCTCTTCAGATCTCAACCTCCTGAGTAGCTAGGATTACAGGCAAGAGCCCTGGGCACAGGGCCAAACTGTCTCTTAAAGTGACAAGCCACTGTGCATCTGCTAGCCGTGACGGGATTCCTGCTGAAGAGCTCTGGTTTTCCATCGCCCCTCCTCTGTAGACCTCACAAGCACCCATTTTCAGTGAATTGGAGCCGAGCGTGGTAGTACATGCCTGGGGTCCCAGCTAGCCAGGAATGTGAGCCTGTTTCCCAAAAGAAGCAAACAACAGCCAGGAAGGCAGAGCGCTCCGTGCAGCTGGATGAACTAGGACAAACTGTAATTAAAAACTCACACGGCGGTGGCTCCCGCCTGTCACCCCAGCTGCTCAGGAGGCTGAGATCAGAGGATGGCAGTTTGAAGCCAGCCTGGGAAGGAAAGTCTGTGAGACTCTGATCTCCAGTGAGCCACCAGAAAACCCTAGAAGTGGTGTTGTCGCTCAAGTGGTAGAGTACTTGCCTTGAGCAAAAAAGCTCAGGAACAGTGCCTGGGCCCTGAGTTCAAGCCTCGAGGAGTGGCACCAAAAACAAAAACAACAAAAAACAACAGAAGAAAGAAAGAAAGAAAGAAAGAAAGAAAGAAAGAAAGAAAGAAAGAAAGAAAGAAAGAATTGTGGCTCTTAGTTCTTGTTAGGCCTGGCGGGTGAGGTCACCAAGCCCAGGGCTAATTCCTCATTCCTAGTTTGCCCCACGGTAGATTTCATTATTGTCCAGACATTTGTTGTCCGGCCCCACTGGAGGCTGCTGCATCCCTCCTGTTGTGCTTGGAGGGGCTGCGTGGGGCCGCCAGGCAGGGCTGCCCTGCGGCCTGTGTCATGAACCAGGGCTGCTCTCTCCTGGAAAATGAGGCCCGGCAGAGCCCCAACCCGCCAGCCACTGCTCTGTCTAGCCAGTGGGAAGTTTCCCGGAGAGTTGGGGCCTGTTTGTTAGGCAACATGATGGGGCTGTGGCTGACTGATACAGTTCCTTGGATGGTGCCAGGTCCTCACTCGGGGAGTGACAACTGGAGCCCAGTGGCACGGTGCAGTCTTTTGGGGGACACTGGACCCCGATGTGACAGGCATGGGACCTTCAACTGGGGCCCAGCGGGAGCCCCTGGTCACGTGGGATACGGCACTGGAAAGGGTGCTGGGCTCTCGGCCCCTCTCTGGTCCTGCCCTGTGCGCTGGCCTCCTCCTCGCCTGCACGCTTCCATCACAGTGACCCTGTTTGTCACCAGGCCCTCGCCAGAGACAGGAGGAATCTGGTGCTGGGCCCTGGAACCTCCAGAACTGTGAGCAAGGCCGACATCTCTTTATAAAGTCACCTGGCCTTGAGCGTGTTGTTGAGAGTGTGGATTAAGACACGGGATGGTGTCCGGAAATCATGCCAACCCTCCAGCATCCTGCAGCAGCCACAGCCTGCCGTGTTCAAGGAGGCTGGAGGCTCCTCCCCCTGTCCTCCCTCCCTCCCTCCTTCTCTCCCTCCTCTTTTCTCTTCTTCCCTTTCCTTTCCCCCTCCTTCCTTCTTTCATTTTCTCCTTCCCTCCTTCCCTCCTTCCCTCCTTCCTTCCTTCCTTCCTTCCTTCCTTCCTTCCCCTCCCTCCCTCCCTCCTTCCTTTCCCTTCTTCCCTCCCTCCCTCCTTTCTTCCCCCCTCTCCCCGGTAAGGCTGGGTGTGGCTCTGTGGTGGTGGAGCCCGTGCCTAGCAGGTGCCGAGCCTAGGGCCCTGGCCAGCCCGGGTCCTGTGAAGACAATGACGCTGATTTGGGAGAGGAGGCGAGGGGCAGAGCTGAGCTGCGTGAGCATTCCCACTCACTCATTCTGGAAGTGAAGCTGTCCTCCTTGGGGCTGGCCCTGCCCGGGGGGCAGGAGTCTGTGGACCACCCAGTGTGGATGGCACGGACAAGGGCGGACAGAGTGGAGATGGCCCAGGAGGCCAGTGAGTCCCGGCTCCCTCAGATGAATGCCCAGACAGGCCTTCCGGGCCTGGGCTTGGCCCCTCTCTCCTCCTGGCACTCCACCTGCTCCATGATATGGTGCCAGATCAGAACCCATCTCGAGCTCTGTGGTTTGCAGCGGCGGTTTTGTTTATATCCATGATTTCCAGCTGGGAATCTGGGAGAGGTGGCGGGAGGCTTGGCTCAACTTCGTGGGTTCTGCAAGGGTGGGGTCCCCGGGCGGGGCTTCACCCCGAATTCCGCTCTGCCCACACCCGGCAGAGGTGCCCGTGGACGGCCAGGCCCTTGGCCACTTCCATGCGGTTTCTTTCTTTTTGTGCTGTGCCGTGACTTGATCTCAGGGCCTTGAGCTCTTGCTTGGCCTTTTCACTCAAGGCCGGCGCTCTACTGCTTGAGCCTTCGCTCCGCTGGTTCATTGGAGATAAGAGTCTTATGAATTTCTTTTTCTTTTTTCTTTTTGTTGGTCGTGGGGCGTGAACTCTGGCCCTGGGCCCTGTCCCTGTGTCCTTCAGCTGAAGGCCAGAGCTCTACCGCTTGAGCCACAGTGCCACTTCTGGTTTTCTAGTGGTTTATTGGAGATAAGAGTCTCACAGACTTTCCTGCCTGGGCTGGCTTTGAACCATGATCCTCAGATCTCAGCCTCCTGAGTAGATAGGATGACAGGCATGAGCCACAAGCACTTGGCTAAGAGTCTTATGAATTTCTCTGCCCAGGCTGACTTCAAACATCCATCCTCACATCTCACTCTCCTGAGGAGCTGGGATTACAGCTGTGAGCACTAGTGCCTAGCACAAGCTGGGGTATGCATGCACACACACACACACGTACACTCCGGGAACCCAGGAGGACATGGCTTCTGCAGGCCCAGTCCAGAGTCACAATGCCTCCTTGCCCTGGGAGACTCCCCACATTCTAGGGGGGGGATTCAGGGTGCTTCTCTGTGGAGTGTGCAGACATGGGCATGGTCCTGCCACTGTAGTGCCGGTGTGTGTGTGTGTGCGCGCGAGCGTGTGCGTGTGCGTGGGGGATTGCAGGACTCACACAGTTGAATGTGTAGTCAAGATGGAGATCTCTTGTCTGAGTATGACTACACGTGTATGGGAATGACTGCGTGCCAGAGGTGGCTTCCAGCTTCACCGCTCGGGAAGAAGCCGACTGGGGCAGTAGGCAGAGGGTCCGGGGCGGGCGCGCACTGCCACAGCCCTGCGCCCTCCCACTGTGTGTCTGGTGGGAATATACATTGTATACATTGCACCTGTTACACAGCAAAAGCAGATATCCAACCTCGTCTTTGCTAACTTTGTATCTATTTCCCAATGTTCTCAACCAGTGGCGACACTATCTCTCACACCTCCTGAAAGCACTCTTGCCACTTGCGAACAGACACAAAAGTAGGTGAAGGCTCGGGCCAGCTCTCGTGGCGCGGTCATGGACTGCTTCCCTCTGCCCATGTGTCCTGGGTTTGTTTTGTTTTGTTTTTAAACTGGCCTTGTTGTTGTTGGTGGTGTGCTGGGGTTTGAACTCAGGGCTTCATGCGTGCTAGGCATTATTCTGCTGTTTTGAGCTATGACTTAGGCCCTTTTTGTTCTGGTTGTTGTGGGGACAGGGGCTTCTTTTTGCCCTGGCTCACCCGGACTGCGAGTCTCCTATTGATGCGTCCTGCTGTAGCTGAGATGGTAGTCACAGACCGCCATACCCAGTGTTTTCTGTTCAGGTGGGGTCTTCAGCACATTTTTTGCCTGGGATGGCCTCTAACTGTGATCCTCTCAATCTCGGCCTCCTGCATACCTTTAGGATGACAGGTATACACCACAATGCAGGGCCTGGCCTACTTTGGAGCAAATCTAGAACCTGTACCCTGTTACAGCAGACCTTGGATACCAGAGCCAGGTCTGTACCATGAGCACAGTATGGACAGGAAGAGGTGGGCGTAGCCTCTTCCCCCTGCTGTCTGCCTCCACCAGCTCTCCTCCTCACTTATTCTGGGAGCACACTGGTGGCCTCCTGTGAAGACCTTTACATTGATTCAAAATGACCACACCACTGTTTGGCTAACAGTGTTGTTGGTCCTGTGCCCAGGGGCTGCTCCATCGGTCCTATCTCTCTCGTTTGTTCATTCATTCATTTGTTCCTTCCTTCCTTCCTTTTCTTTCTTTCTCTCTTTTTCTTTCTCTTTCTCCTTCCTTCCTTCCTTTTCTTTCTTTCTCTCTTTTTCTTTCTCTTTCTCCTTCCTTCCTTCCTTCCTTCCTTTCTTCTTTCATGTTCTGGTACTGGGGCTTGAACTCAGGGCCTAAACACTTTCCCTTAGCTTTTTCATTTAAGGCTGGCATTTTACCATTTCAACCACGGTTCCACTTCAAGCTTTTTGAGGGGGGGTCGATTGTGGAGCTCTAACTCTGGGCCTGAGCTCTGTCCTTCAGCTCTTCTGCTCAAGGCTGGTGCTCTACCGATTGAGCCACAGCGCCACTTCCGGTTTTCTGGTGATTCGCTGGAGATAGTCTCACGAACTTTCCTGCTCAAGCTGATTTTGAACCACAATCCTCAGATCTCTGCCTCCTGAGTAGCTAGGATTACAGGTGTGAGCCACCGGTGCCTAGCTACCTTCAGGCTTTTTGCTGGTTCATTGTAGATAAGAGTCTCACAGGTTTTCCTGCCCAGACTGGCTTTGAACCAGGTGCCTCAGATCTCAGTCGCCTGTGAGCCACTGCTGTCCAGCCTCAAGGCCTCTTTTGTGACTTCACCACTTGAGCCATAGATAGACAGGTGTCTATTTGTGCCCGAGTGGCTTGTGCTGCCGCCCTCCTGCGTGTGCACTCCCATTCGCTGGGGACGAAAGGCGAGCACAGCCACACTCAGCCGCTGGTTGGGATGCAGTCTCCCAAACTTCATGCTTGTGCTGGCTCTAAACTGCAGTCTCCTCGTCTCTGCGTACTGCGGACAGGATTTTAGGCTTGAATTCCCACCCCCAGCTAGGTGGGGCTTTCATTTTGATGGTTGCACAGGGATTTGTTATCCAACCCCAGTGTACCACCCTCAGCCCTGCCAAAAAAAAAGTTCAAGGGCCAGACACTAATGTCACAAACCCGAGGCCACGGTGAAGCCAGAACTGGAGGCTGAGGTGGTGCCTGGCCAGGGCTGGGGCAGGGCGAGCATGAGCACGGGTCCTGTGTGCCCGCACAGGCCCCATTCCCAGGCACGGCCTCCCGGCTGGGCTCCTCTCTGGTCTAGGACACCCACGAGGTGAGGGAATTGGGGGCTTCCTTTCTGTGTCCCCAGGTCCTGGCACTCAGCTCCAGGTGTGCTTGAGGCCTCGTGTTGTGCAGAGCCACGTGTGGGTGGAATGGAGGAGGGAGAGAAGGAGGGAGGGGGAAGGAGGGAGGGGGAAGGAGGAGGAGGGAAGAGGGAAGGAAGACGTACCAGTTAACGTCTGTCCGATGAACTGATTTTCTCTCTTGCGTCCTGTCTTTTGGGGGCTCACCCTTTCCTGCCTGGGGCTTGGTGGAGCCACACTGGGGCCTGGGCCCAGCCCCGCTGCCTGCTGGCCCCTGCCGTGCTGCCCCCCCAGCCTCCCCAGCTCCACAGGGCCCGGGGCGGCTTCGGGGGTGTGCGGCGGGGGTGCTCGCGTCCACGTCTCCCTGCCCTGGTCCCTCCCAGGGGCAGCGGGAGCAGAAGCCGCCTCCGAGGGGAAAAGTACTGGACACACAGTACCGGACGCACGAGGCGCCCGGGAGCGCCCTTCCTTCGCAGGGACAGCCCCGACCCCCGCAGGGAGCCCCAGGAAGGTGGGCACGGTGGAAGGACACGGAGGTGGCCAGGGATTGCAGAAAGGACAGCACCCTCTCGCATTGGCCTCTGGGTGGGGCACCAGGAAGCCGGCCACGCAGCCACGGCAGGCAGCCACCGCGCAGCCACGGGGCGCCCCGGGTTGGATCACTGGAGGTCAGAAGTGCCCAAGCAGGAAATGAGATGCAAGTTGTAAAAGACATCAAAGGAAATGGAAAAACATTCTTCTAATATGTCAGGGAGGGAGAGGAAGGGGAGGAAGGCTGGCCGGTTACGAGGGAGGGGGAGGGGAGGAAGGCTGGCCTGTTACGAGGGAGGGGGAGGGGAGGCAAGCGATGGCACTGACCGGCAGCCACCACGGCCACGGGCCGGGACACCTGGGGAGGGACGCTGTCCTCAGGCCTCCTCTGGGCAGCCGGTTCCAGCCGGCCGGGCCGGGCCCGGGGCTGTGCCCGGCGTTGTGCAGCGAGCGGGCAGCCGGCT